CCTTCTCACTACACCCCTAGCCATACCCCTGAAATGCCAGAACAAACGTTGTGGCCACAAAGACACATGACCTTCTCACTACACCCCTAACCATACCTCTGAACTGCCAGAACAAACGTTGTGGCCACAAGGACACATGACCTTCTCACTACAACCCTAACCATACCCCTGAAATGCCAGAAAGAAACGCTGTGGCTACAAGGACACATGACCTTCTCACTACACCCCTAACCATACCCCTGAAATGCCAGAAAAAACGTTATGGCCACGAAGACACATGACCTTCTCACTACACCCCTAACCATACCCCTGAAATGCCAGAAAGAAACGCTGTGGCCACAAGGACACATGACCTCTTTACCACATGATAGCGTCTACACAGCTTGATACATGAGAGTGGTTACTGCTGTGCCATGTGGCATCATCATCATAATCTACATATTACAAGAGTATTACTGTTGGGGGTACTTTAACGTGATTTCACAAAGTATGTCCATGTTGGGATTCGAAAGATCTTTAAATTTGTTCTTGACTAGCATCAATGCTTGCCCTGTCATGGGTGAGGCTGCCATACATGTATGCTTCCAATATCGGACTCGGATAATAATACTTGGTTTGTCAACAGAACACTGATACTTAAGTGGATTAACTTGTCGGGCGGGACTTTCCTTCCTCGAACTAAAATAATCAACCCAAGAGTAAACCTAACCCCTTCACTCTCCTATGTTTAAAGAATATATATTCTTTGTTTGTGCAGTCGAGATAGTTTCGGTGAATCCTTGAGATATAATTTAATACATGTTTTACTGGACCATTTTAACTAATGTATGACAGTCCCCAACTTGTTTGATAAGCAGTCCTACAGATGACAGATCAACCTAACATTAAGTTATTCTCACATGAAAATGTCAGCTTGCTTATAACAATTCCTGACGTTTCATGATATACTAACGGCCTTTCTTATTTCCCGTTTCAGGTGATAGAATTGCACATTTTTTGTTATGGCTAACGTTTCACCTAACACGCACTTGTTACTCTACCAATAGTTAACATAGTGTTTATAGACCTGATAGAATGCAACTTGCCACCCTCATACAAGTGCGCATTCCTCTGTATAAAAACTACACCAAACTAGAGGGCTTGCATCGTAAAGCGAAAATAACCCGCACTGGGTGACGTCGTTCATTCACTAGAACCCCGGAGTAATTGGAATATGTGTAATGTTTCCGGTTTTTTAGAGACGGACCTGCTAGGCCACCTCGTCTCTGGTCATTAGTAAGTCCGAAACTACGGCTGCCGGCACATACTTCCTCCGATTGGTCAAACAAAACAACATGGCGACAGTTGTAGCTGAGCGACAGACAAAGCTAGCGTACTATTCTCAGCCCCCGATGAATACCGGTGACTTGTGTGTCTGAGGGCTCCGTACATGGGGCACTATAATAGCGGGACAATGGAGATGGAGAAAACATGAGCTGGCGACATTCTCTTCCGAGGAAGATTATCCTGTCGCCACCGGTGTAGATGGGGATAAACCCTTTGCACTGGTCGACACGTGGGCCGAGTGAGCGTGGGCTTAACATTACATTAAAATGGAACTTAAAACCGTGGGCAGATAAGAATACTTTTTACAAGGAAATAAATACTACTTAACAGATACTATAGTCTGTTTGCAGTGAAAACGTACCGATGAAGTTCACTTTAAATATGAAAGTAAAGCGAATAAAATGAAATTAAGATTGCGAATCCTCATAATTTTACCTTGCCAACTGAACATTTAAGTATCAGAATTTTTACAAACTTAGGATAAAACTTGTTTAAAAAACGATCATAGTTTCAAATCGTTATTATTGGTTTTTATTACAAGGGTGTATGCACATTAAATGAAACACCGACAACAAGTAGGGTTGGTCTAAGTTAACGCTTATCACGTACCGCACGTGCATTTGTTTCAGTGTTCCAACTACTGCCCTTACCCCCTTGTAATACAAACCAATAATAACGATTTGAATCTAAGATCGTTTGTTAAACAACTTTTATCCTAAGATGAATAAAATTCTGAGATTCAAGTGTTCAATTGGCAAGGTAAAATTATGAAGATTCGCAATCTTAATTTCACTTTATTTGATTTACATTTTTTGTTTAAAGTGAAATTCATCGGTACGTTTTCACTGCAAACAGACTATAGCTTAAGTTGAAATTGCATCCATAAAAAATATATTCTGGTTCTAAAATATATTTTACTCTTATTATATTATGGTAACCATACACTTATTATTATGGCCACTGCAATGAATTCTGAAGTTAAACATATTTTATATATTTCCCAGATTTATTTTTGCAAAATTATTACTTCTACGAATGAACTTGCAGTCATATGGTATTCAAATTCAATATAAACCGATTTATCTCAAAGGCACACGCGTTGACACCGTGTGGGATACACACGATACAGTGTGTTATTGTTATTGTTATGTTATTATTGTTTTTGCTAAATAGTTTGTAAGTGATAAATATACGCGTGAAGTATACTGCTTGTTAACAGTACGGGAAAGGTTCATACACCAGGTGACCAGTGGTCAACTGGCTCGAAGGGTCAGCACGTGACTACAGCAAGACTGGTCAATATTTTCACGTAGGAGAATGGCAGCACCACTATGCACGCGAACCGGAAGCTGTGAGTCTCGTGCTCCGCCATCTTAACTGTGTAGGAAAGTAAACGAAACGTCATCAATTTAAATATTAGTTTAGCCGTGCGGGGTTCTAGGGGTTGCTGGAAAGGAAATGCAGAGTGGCAAAAACCGTCGCAAGAATTCCAATATGTATCAAATCAAGAATTTCGCAGAATTCTTTCGAACTATTTCTAAAACAACGTTTTCGTCGGACGGGTTCACCTCGGTAAGACTATCTATACCACAGATAGAAGCAAATACGTCAGTACTGAGTGTCCCACAGAAACAATACCAGACTGAACGTGTGGTTAAGACATATTTAGTACTGCGTTGTATCTGTTCACAGTCAGAAGGCGCGGGGTTGGCGTTGGCAGGTGGAGGGTTGTGGTGCCGGCCGCTGGTCATTTGTTGATCTGACCGAGGGTCAAGATGCCCTCTTCTCGACGAGGTGCCAACAGGGCGTGTGACATGATGTGGAGTCACCCACAAGTGAGATTTGGGACTTAGTCGTGTTTCGCCCACTCGTAACCTAAAAACAAACCCTGTGACAGGGTGGGAACTAGACATACGAATTATACGAAAGTGTGGGGTCACCGGGGAGCGAGGTCTCACGATGCATGTCAGTTGTCATCGCCTCGTACAGCCTCCTACAGTAAACTACTCCGTTGCACCTCGTTTCTTGGTTTCCAGTAGCTTCATTCGGCTAACATCACTGGTGGAAACATTGCGTTTATGTTTTTCGACGGATATAATGTCTCAGTTCGACTCACAATTAAACAGCGACACGGCAACGTTCGCAATGTTTACATTCCCACAATGCATTTAAGTTGTAGAATGAATGAATTCACGTGTTTGTTATGAATGAAAAAATAGTGACCTAATTGAGAGGTCATCGGTTATCCAATCAAATCGTTGGAATTTCAGGTCAAGTCGTTACGACACAGGGCCCCATTTCACAAAGCTCTCGTAGCGCTACGACTGTCGTAAGTCTTTGTTACAGTATAGGAAGTACGAATGCTACGAGAATAGTTACGAGATCTTAGGCTTACGAGAGCTTTGTGAAATGGGGCCCAGGTCAACGCGATACGACACTCGTGTGACGTACGAGATTAATATGCAACTACCCATACGTTGACCACGTGGGTAATAATAAAACATATTAACTCCGAAGGACACAGTTCCACAAGTAGCAGGATCCGTGTCGCCTACGCAAATTCTAATACAATGGCAAACAAGAGTAGTAGTTGTACACAATACGCAAATGACATGAATTTATAATGATGGACAAAGAAGCATATACATGTTTGCATTACCGATGCAGCACTAAAAATATGTGAAATTGTAAGTATAACGCAGAAAGGCATATCCAATTTCGAGTTTCATATAATTGTCTACAAAACTGAAATACTTTAAAAAGTGGTTTTGCATCTTGTACACTCACTTAATCATTCCTAAAAGCTGATCTATTTTTTTATCAGGTTTTTAAATAAAAATAGCCAGTGTGAATAGTTTTCATATATCCTATTGCATAACGTGATCACGATGTTTTGATGTGTCTTATGTATTAATATGGGCTTGGTACTAGCCATTTAGGTAAGTTCGAAACAAATCATATGTGCACAGGTCTTGGTTGAAAGCGACACCATTAAAGTGAGAATCAAACCCGGATCGGATAAGACTAACCTCACCATCCGACCCAACAGTGGTACCATGACAGCTCTCTGAAACGCCACTTTTGGCCTTTAAAAAGGGCAGCACAAGCTCCCGACACCCACTTGACCGTTGTTAAAGCAGGTGAGTATACTCCACTGTTGGCCGGCCCACTCTCAGGGCACTCGATGAGGTAGGGGCCCCAGCCCTCACAAGGGGCGAGCATGACAACTTGTTTAAAACTACTTCCATACATCACACACTAACGAGCAGGAAATGGCACTTCCTGAATTAATCATTAACGGACCCTTAAAATTGTCATTCGGGAAAAAGAATATTAATGAAAAAGTGTTGTTTTGAATTAACAATCACAGGGTTATTTCGTAGCTATGTTATTGATATTTATTTTACTGTAATTATTTCACAAATTCAGTGGGTTGGAAAAAGTGTGTTTTCAAAACATTAAAGTATTTCATATCAGTTTCAATTATTGTTTTCAGTAAAACATGCACTAGAAAGCGAGTCAGGAATACGCGGTGTTTGAGTTAAGGTTACCTGATTGACAAAGGTAACCAGGTTATGATTATTAAACATGTTAATATGGATTCTTGATATGTAGTGATATAGCTCTTTCCGCGAATTAAGGCAGCATTTCTCCGCTATCAACGACAAAACACAAAAATCCTGTTCTGTTAAGGATTAAAACACTTTCTTGAACCCCACCCAATAACCCACCCCTAACTCTATCCCTTCTCCACCTCTCCGGACAACATAACCTTCCCACCCGATCCAATAGACCAAACCCCTAACTCTATCCCTTGTCCACCGGTCCCCTCCGGGCACCTTAACCCTTCCGATCCGACCCAAAAGCCCACCCCTAACTCTATCCCTTGCCCACCCCTCCGGGCACCATAACCCTTCCCACCCGATCCAATAGCCCACCCCTAACTCCATCTCTTCTCCATCCCACCGGACACCATAACCCTTCCCACCCGATCTCTTATAGCCGGGCACCCCTAACCCTTCCATCTCTTCTTCCATCCCACCGGGCACCTTAACCCTTCCCACCTGGATCCAATAGCCCACCCCTAACTCCATCTCTTCTCCACCCATCCGGGCACCCCTAACCTACACCTCTTTTCCACCATAACCTTCCCAGATCCAATAGCCCACCCCTAACTCCACATAACCCTTCCCACCTAATAGCCCATCCCCCTCACTCTTTCTCGCACCCCACTGACACCATAACCCTTTCCACCCGACCTAATAGCCCACCCTAACTCTAACTCTCTTCTCCACCCATCCAGGCAAGCACCCATATAACCCCTTCCACCCGGACCCACAATGGCCCACCCCTAACTCCATCTCTTCTCCACACCCACCGGGCACCTATATAACCCTTCCCACCCGACCCAATAGCCCACCCCTAACTCAATCTCTTCTCCATCCCCACCGGGCACCATAACCCTTCCCACCTGATCCAATAGCCCACCCCTAACTCCATCTCTTCTCCACCCCACTGGGCACCATAACCCTTCCCACCCGATCCAATAGCCCATCCCTAACTCTATTCCTTCTCGCACCCCACCGGACACCATAACCCTTTCCACCCGACCCTAATAGCCCACCCTAACTCTATTCCTTCTCCACCCCACCGGACACCCATAACCCTTCCCACCCGACCTAATAGCCCACCCCTAACTCTATCTCTTCTCCACCCTCCAGGCACCATAACCCTTCCCACCTGATCCAATAGCCCACCCCTAACTCCATCTCTTCTCCATCCCACCCGGGCACCATAACCCTTCCCACCCGATCCAATGGCCCACCCCTAACTCCATCTCTTTCTCCACCCCACCAGGCACCATAACCCTTCCCAATCCGATCCAATAGTCCACCCCTAACTCCATCTCTTCTCCACCCCACCGGGCACCATAACTCTTCCCACCTGATCCAATAGCCCATCCCTAACTCTATTCCTTCTCGCACCCCACCGGACACCATAACCCTTCCCACCCGACCCAATAGCCCACCCCTAACTCTTCTCCACCCCACCGGACACCATAACCCTTCCCACCCGACCTGATAGCCCACCCCTAACTCTATCTCTTCTCCACCCATCCAGGCACCATAACCCTTCCCACCTGATCCAATAGCCCACCCCTAACTCAATCTCTTTCTCCATCCCACAGGGCACCATAACCCTTCCCACCCGATCCAATAGCCCACCCCTAACTCATCATCTCTTCTCCATCCCACCGGGCACCATAACCCTTCCCACCCGATCCAATAGCCCACCCCTAACTCCATCTCTCTTCTCCACCCCACCGGGCACCATAACCCTTCCCACCCGATCCAATAGCCCATCCCTAACTCTATTCCTTCTCGCACCCCCACTGGACACCATAACCCTTCCCACCCGACTATTAGCCCATCTCCACCCCACCGGGCCCAGCACCCCCTAACTCTCTATCCCTTGCCCACCCTCCGGGCACCATAACCCTTCCCACCCGATCCAATAGCCCACCCCTAACTCCATCTCTTTCTCCATCCCACCGGACAACACCATAACCCTTCCCACCTGACCTTTATAGCCCACCCCTAACTCCATCTCTTTCTCCATCCAATAGCCCACCCCTAACTCCATCTCTTCTCCACACCACCGGGCACCATAACCCTTCCCACCCGACCTAATAGCCCACCCCTCACTCTTCTCCACCCCACCGGACACCATATTCCTTCCCACCCGACCTAATAGCCCATCCCTAACTCTATCTCTTCTCCACCCCACCGGACACCATAACCCTTCCCACCCGACCTAATAGCCCACCCCTAACTCTATCCCTTCGCCACCACACCCGACACATACCAAACCTCTTACTCTATCCCACAACCAACATACGACCTTAATAAACAGCGTTACTTTTTGTGGACATTTTTAATCCAACTGCAATATAATTCTACATGTTTGAATTTGTTTTATTGTTTAATTACTGTTACCTCAGTACATTTCCCTACCTTCCGCCCCAAGACTTAGTTCCAGCTGCTCCAGGCTTTTTTCGTGTGTACATGTTGGAACTTGTCCGTCAACAAGTGTTTCCTGAACCCTGTGTGTAATTGGCTGTGTGAGGAAAGCCTGAGTGCATGTAGATGTGACTACCTTTCACCAGCGCTGGGTGCGTATTTCATTTGCAGGTTGTTCAAAGAAGGAATTAAGAACACTTGATATGGATAACAGAGAGACGCATCAGCAGTAGTAACAGAAGACTAACTGACTGACTGACTGAGTTTAGTTTTACGCCGCTTTTAGCAATATTCCAGCAATATAACGGCTGGGTACACCAGAAATGGGCTTCACACATTGTGCCCTTGTGGGGAATCGAACCCAGGTCTTCGGCGTGACGAGCCAACGCTTTAACCACAGTAGTAGTAGTAGTAGTAGTAGTAGTAGTAGTAGTAGTAGTAGTAGTAGTAGTAGTAGTAGTAGTAGTAGTAGTAGTAGTAGTAGTAGTATTTATTATAGGATATTTATATATAGCTGTTAGATTGTAGTTTGGAAAGTATTATATTGCTAGTCTCACGAAATCTCGTAGGCGAGATTTACATCCATGGTAGCCTAGCTAACGAATGCTGAGGTAATTGTGTTCTATTTGTGGCGTAACAACGATTATTACGTATTGTTATGATGTGTGCACCGTCATCTATCGAAGTAGTTGCTAAGGGCCAGTTAGTGGACGTTGTGGCTGTGTGCGCATGTATTTTGGAAGCTGTACCGAATACATAACCACGATTCTTCAATACGAAGTTGTTATTCCTTCTGGGATATAATATAGCGCACATATCCAAGCAGCTAGTACATGCTCAATCCCTTGATCAGATGTCAGTATCAACGGCACATCGTCTTATCAATCTCAACTCCCTGGGGATCATACCACTCTTGCAGCCACTAGGCGCACCGAAATATTGTGGCTTTCCCCTCTCTACGAGGAACCCAACTTCACAGCTTGGTGGACTGGGACACATGGTCACAGTATTTTGTCCAAGTTTACTGCACATTGCTGTACGCGCAACTAGCTGTTTGCACGTATTCATGTGGCCACTGGTCATTTACCAACGGATTCGTGGATCTTTTAAGTGCATAGGGTTGTGTACTGTACACTAGAGGTTGTGACAACACTGAAAGAGTCTGCACACAAAGTTGACTCCAAGGTTTTTACACACGGTCACAGGTGGGTTCGATCCCGGTCCCTCAACCTCGCTGGATCACAAGCCTAGCGCCTTAGCCAGCTCGCCCACCCTACAGTAATATTAGTAGTAAGAGTAGTAATAGTTGTAGCAGCAGCAGCGGCGGCGGTGGTGGTTGTGATGGAGGTGGTAGTTACAGCAATTAATAGTACTAACTCCATTAGAAGAAGTATTTTTAGTGGCAAAAGTAAATTTGTAGTAGCAGTAGTAATGGTCATGGTAGTAGTGGTGTTATCAAGAAACAGTAGTGGTAGTGTTAAAAGTGGGTTTAGTACTGTTACTGTTTTAGTCATACTTGCGTAATTAAATAATTAACACGCCCGGAATAAGGAAATACAAGAGTACAAGAAGTAAAAGAAGTTCGTACTTATTTGATTTAGAGTACACTATGTTACAAAACAACTGAAACAACCTGAATCTCTGCCAAGACGATTTTGTTTCCGCTTCAGTAAATCGATGAATACAGTTTGAGTAATGACAAAAACTGATGATTAATGTGGAATATGAGTGCATGATTTCAGTGTGGACGAACACGGATTTTATCGGTTGTATCGAGAGGTGAAACTGAAGATGTATTCTCGTATATCTTATTCATTTGTAACTTTTTCATCAAAGAAATGTTCAACTAATACTGCATGTAATCTTTTGAAAGGATTAGTAAGTGAGTGAGTGAGTTTGGTTTTACGCCGCTTTTAGCAATATCCCAGTAATATCACGGCGGGGGACACCAGAAATGGGCTTCACACATTGTGCCCATGTGGGGAATCGAACCCGGGTCTTCAGCGTGACGAGCGGATGCTTTAACCATTAAGGTTACCCCACCGCTCCTTTAAGGAAATATTACACACTGAGCCTGTTAATGGTAAAACGCATGTGTTTATAGAATGAAGATGTAATAATAAATTTTAAAGTCATCAGTTATAAGTATACGAAGATCTCCCTGTTGTATTATTAAACGGATGACATCCACTCGACCATCAGATGTAATTATTGCATTTACAAAGAATAACATGGTACCCCTAATGCTGAACAAAAGCTGCGCATCCGGCAACACAACGTTAATCTGACTCCATAAACTGAAATCGGTAAATCCAGACACCCGTGACACTTTACGGGCTTCCGAGAACAGATGGTGCAAAGCTTCGGGACATCCTTTCCAATAAACGTGTAGCATTTATGAAAGACGTTGATGAGGTTTGTCGTTTCAGTACAAAAAGCCTATGAGCGTGGGCAGACAGACCCAGGCTTACAACAGGAGTGGTTTCAACATTGTAACGCAATCCTGTACCGGGTTGTGTTGTGTAGGTGTCAGATCACTGGTACTGTGTCCTACGGTTTGTAAATGTTATCATGAAAAAGAACAGGAGAAACACAATAATAACAGTGATACTGAAACATCATCATCACCATCATCATCTTTGCCGAAGATATATGTGTTGTTAATACCCGCACATGTGTGCTGCCCTTAAACCTACATTGGTCTTAAGTGTAGAAAATTCATGGCACAACACACGTATAACTATAACTGTTACACATACCGACCATAACCTGAATGTTACCTTTGGCAAAATAGCGAACTTGATCTCTGTGACGTTAACGTTTATGTATATTTGGAGCGGTGGGGTAGCCTAGTCGTTAAAGCGTTGGCTCGTCACGCCGAAGACCCGGGTTCGAACCCCCACATGGCCACAATGTGTGAAGCCCATTTCTGGTGTACCCAGCCGTGATGTTGCTGGAATATTGCTAAAAGCGGCGTAAAACCATACTCAGTCAGGCAGTTATGTATATTTATATACGTTTACTGCATGAAACATTTGTAGTATAAACTGGTCTTTCTTTACACTATTTGTGTCACCATTTCGGATAAGTCACATTAAAACACAGATTTACTACAGCACTCCTTTGTAAGATGGCCATCACAGATCTTCGTTATACTTAATATAAATGATGAGTATGATTTGTAGGCATAAATTCGGAAAAACATATATAATGATCAAATACAACTTTTATTATGAATATCATTTTACAATTTAAATTTAATTCAATGTTACAAGTGTAAGTGAAATACTGACAAGCGTGGCGATCAGTGGTACCCCCTCTCTCTTTCACTGATACAATGAAAAGTCGTAACTGCAGGGGTTCGATGCTCCAGTACTACAGGTAAATACGTCTCTAAGGAAAATATTCAATTAACTCGCAGCCAACAATACAACGTATAATTATATAATTAATATACAGATGTTAATAGTCTCATTGTAAAGCAAGCGCTATCAGTCGGAGATGACTGCATCAGTATCATTTATAAAAAATAGAGATCGTCTCCTGTAGAAACATGTTATAACTGTTCTTGTTAAAATAAACAAACCTTACAACCTGTTCCTGCAGGTGCGTGGAACGCATCAACACACAGGTACCAACCATCAGCGTTAAATTAGATTGTGCTCAATTTTAATCATTATGGTTTTAATGTTCACGCTGGATTTTAACCTCTTTAGTACTCAATGGCAATTAAATCGAAATCATTTTCAAAAATATTTTATAGCAGACATGTGTAAAACATTCCGCGATTGACGCATCAGTGATAACAACTGCATTTCGCTATTGTCACCTATACTACGTTCCCGTGTATTTCAGGGGAACAATTGACGCATCAGTGATAACAACTGCATTTCGCTATTGTCGCCTATACTACGTTCCCGTGTATTTCAGGGGAACAATTGACTCGCATTTGCATGTGTTTGTGCCAGGTGCCACCAGTCTGGCAATTTTTCGCTCTGTTTTTTAAGAAGACTTTTTATCATCACTATTTGATGGTGATTCTTAAATCAGGATAAAGACGGTATTGTCCAATCGAGATTTCTTATGAATATGGATAGGTTTTCAGTCGCTTTCACCAAGCGATAGAAAAGATAAATGGTTTACCAAGTCATTTATAGGAACTATCGATGCATTGAAATTGTCCATTGCTTAATGTCAGTAAACCAGCATCGATAACCCTTGGAGCATCACTGGTATGTCTACAAGAGATTCCGCTGATCAAGGCATGCTATATTTGTTTGTTGTTTAACGCCGCACTCATCAACATCCCTCGTTTAACGCCGCACTCAGCAATATCTCAGCTATAATACGTCGATCTGTAAAAGTCGAATCTGAACCCAGTGATTGACATAATGAGCATCGATCGATAAACAATATTATAGTATTGGGCCCTTGCAAGTAAAGTATTCATTTTTCAGTATCATACAGCAAATATTCGATGCAGTCAAAACTAAGGTTTTATAATGACGATATCAGTGAGTGAAGGGGTTTTAAGCTGTCCACAGAAATATTTAAGTCGTGTCAAAGTGGGAGATAAGCAAGAATAAATTTCCCATTTTTTAATTTTTTTAATTTTTATTTTGTTTTGTTTTGGGTGGGGGGTCTGACGAGAGTGAGCGCTGTATCAACCAGCGTGTCATCCGCCACTGACATAGTGAAATAATTATGGTTACAACTAAACAATCCGACGTTTATTTGCTTTTAGTAAACCCCAGCCTTATTACATTAAATTTAAACGAATCAAGACAATTTATATACAGTACCACTACGCATGATTAATTATTTGACACAAATATCAGTTTTGGGAAAGTCACAGTTGAAGTTCCACGTGGAATACAAATGTGTGACCAGAGCATTGGTCATGCGCACTGGTCAGTAATGGGAGAGAGATTTGTCACACTCCCGATAACACACCCAAAACCACGTCCACGACTACTCCTCACGTGACCTTCACCCTCATGTCAAGCTTCACGGGTGTGGCGCCATATTACAAGCAGACGACCCACTTCTGTGACGTCACTGCACGTGTCAATTGATTGAAACAGTGCCGATCGGTTACATTGTAAAGAGTGGCGAAGACGTCAAACAAACACGAGTTTGTCACTTTTACAAATTGGGGAAACATTTGCCACAAATCTGCTGTGTGTTTTTTACGGCGTATTTCACGTGTGTTTTGTTTGTGGTGATATGGGGTATATCGTCTGGGCCCTTCCCACTACGTTGCAGGGCTGGGGAGATGTTGTGTAACTGTTTCACACACAGGTAAAATCTCTCACGGTCCACCTAGAGTTTGCTCACATACAATATTGTAGTATTTTTTATAATTTCAAACACGTGCACTTTTGAATAACGTTTCCTCTGGTCTTGTATTTTACCACAAAAAAAACCTAGCAGGTGTTAGCACAGGACAAATGTGTTACTTCTACCAATTTCAATTTGATGTCATTTCATATTTCTTATTTTTTCATCTCCTGTTTAAATCTACTTTAAGTTTCTGGGCGCAAACACGTGAGAGCGTCTGTAACGGTACAAAACAGCACTGGTGAGTGAGTGAGTAAGGTTTTACGCTAGAAAATGACTTCACACATTCTACTCATGTGTGGAATCGAACCCGTGCCTACGGCGTGACACTTTAACCACTAGGCTACCCCCACCGCCCCACCGCCGGTATCGTAACGTAAGAAGTCGAAACTATAAACAGCCTGGAGAGAGTAGGTAACACGCCGCTCTGAATGAGTGAGTATGGTTTTACTCCGCTTTTAGCAATGTTCCAGCAATATCACGGCGGGGGACACCAGAAATGGGCTCCACACATTGTACCCATGTGGGGAATCGAACCCCGGTCTTCAGCGTGACGAGCTGAGGCTTTAACCACTACGCCGCTCTGAGAAGTATTGCAGTTTCATCACGACGTTTCATCTTAATGTCGCAGGAATACCCGACACAACTGAGCATGGATATGTTGCTGACAAACATAGGAACATAATCGGCGCAAACAGGGATTCGAACCCATATACCTAATGGCCAGTTGACAACTAACACCCTGTTACTGGTAATCTCTTTGGTGCCAGCACTTGCTAATTCGGAGGTAATTAGCAGTGTGAGAACGCCTGTAGCTTTGTTTTTACAAGCTGAGTGGCCAATGTGAGGACCTAGGTATGTTTTGTCAAGCATCGGATGAATGGGCTGAGAAAAGGGATCAATTAATTTGATATAAGCCAGTTACAATGTATGGTACTGTTTGAAAAGTATTCAAGTAAGGAGACATTGAATTATCCGACACTCTGTATAATCTGACATGTTTTCCCAGTCCCAGTGAGTGTCGGATTATACAGAGTCCACTGTATAGGTTCTTTGGCCGTTCCCCCCGGCCTTCACTGGAATCACCCGTTATTTCCGGGTTGTGCTTTCGTAGTTTTAGATATTGTGTTCTGTTTAACGCCGCATTCAGCAACATTTCAGTTGTATGGCAGCTACCTGTAAATATTCTAGACCAGGCAATACAGTGATTGATATTGTGGGCTAAGACCCACGCAGTAGGGTCACAATGACACGTCATCAATGACGTCATCGCAAGCGACCTCATGATAACGTTGATCAAGACACTGGGTAGTCGGTGCATACAAAGGCTCATTAGCACTGTTGGTGTTCCTCCATCAACGGGACGGTGCTCATTAGGGGTGTCACGATACACCAATCTCACGATACGATACGTATCACGATTTTAAGGTCACGATACGATACGTATCGCGATACATAATTATCGCACCTTTTCATAGCATTACCTTACCGGCAACGTACGCGTTCGCTGACTGGTCCATCAAAATAGTCTAGCCAATCACAAAAGCTGTTAGTTTCCAACCTATTTTTTAAGTAAAGCTAGCTACATCTATTTATCGGAGCGGTCTGGTATAATTTTACTATCAAGACTTTGACGGAGATGGATATAGCATAAAAATTTGAATCGATAAAGTTTTAAAATAGGAATCGATACACGCAAGCATGTATCGCGTATCGTATCGTCAGTAAAAATGTATCGATGTATCGATACATTCGCGTATCGCGACACCCCTAGTGCTCATGGTTGACGTGTCTCCTGCTAGGGCTCTAAAAGACTTCAGTTCAGGATGATCTGTCGAGGTGGAAGAAACGGTGATATTAGTTATCAAATTTATGTCGCTTTTGCATTTTTTCAGCCACACTGCGACTACAAAACATAGCACGTCTCATCATTCTTAGCCAACTAATTAATTAAAGTTATGAAAACGTGTGTCTATTCACCAGAGGTTTGTAATCTGTAATCATGGTACTGGCAGCACCTTCAGCAGAATCAGATGATTTCAACTGGTATACGGTGACATGTGACAACCATCAGCAAGTCTGACCACCCGATCCCGTTAGTCGCCTCTTACGACAAGCATGGGTTACTGAAGATCAGTTCAAACCCGGATCTTCAGGGGAAGTATGACGTCAGGCAACAAACACTCACTTTATTATGCCAACTGTGCAACACAGGCCCTCGTGTTTTTGCGAAGTTTTAAGGTTAAATTTTTTTATTTTTTGAGAAGACCCCGACTCGAAATGCTTTACAGTACAATAAATCATGTCGTAAGGTATTGTACTGTGAAGCATTTCAAGTCGGGGGTCATCTCAAATTTTATATATATTTTTTAAGATCTTTAATCCTTCCAAAGACACGAGAGCCTGTGCTGTGCAAGTCGCGGGTGCTCGTCGTACGGCAAGATATACTTAACCCCTCCACGAACACCTCGTGTCCTCACAAATTTTCAGTGAAGCATTCATATAATGTTTATCACTATATTCCCATTTTCGCCACATTTAATCTGTTTTCGATGATAATGGTTATATATTCTCAGGGGATGACGCTCTGTGTTTTCCACGTTGTACCAAAATCGGGAATCAAACTCGGCCTTACCGTGATGATCGAGCGCACTAGGCTCCCACCACATCGACTCCAGTGAGAACCAAAGCTTATCCCCGTCTTGGGGTCGTGTTCTGTGGAATAACCATTCCAAAATGCCTGACACCAAACACTACCACGGAATACCGTATTGTACCTTCCAACCAGTGACCCCTGTCATCCCATATCATGTTAAGATAACAACACAAAAAGTAAGATAACACGCAAACCGATTTTGATTTATTGATATTCCTGCTAGATGCCATGCTCCACGGAATGGCGGTGCTCGTACAACAGACAGGTCCTTGCTTGAATCGGTGTCTCATAAGCGCTATGTTGAACATTAGGATCACTCAGCCAGTCTCGGTCGATACCATCTCTCACAAGAAAGCGAAATATTGTATATCTACCAATCTCCTTTCTCGTGCTATTTCCTAGCGGAACATGGTAACATCGGGTGAGATGGGCGCCGATAGCACGCAAGCTTTGACTGTAGCATAATACATATCCTTGTCTCTATCAGCCAATCAGCGAGACTATGTACATTTCACTAACGAAACCATGTATCCTATACGGGAACCCGATATTGGATAAAGTGGTGAATTGTATCTTTCTATCTTTGTTCGTGATCGCCAGCATACAGCGCGTTTACCCGTTAAGCCGTCAACATTTAAGTTGTCCCTACGATAATTTATTCAAATTGCTAACAGTGACTATATCGGCTAATAAACGCAGATTCCACACCCTACAGTAATGTGTTTCAGAGATTAGCACACCCGTGAAGACTCGGGTTAGACTGGTCTCCACCAACCCATCTTTGACGCAAGAGGCGACTAACGGGATCGGGTCTTCAGGCTCGCTGACTTGGTTGACACATGTCATAGTATCCCAATTGCGCAGATCGATGTTCATCATGTAAATCACCGGCTTGTCTGGCCACGACTCAAGTATTTACAGACCGCCGTCATATAGCTAGAATATTGCTGAGTGCGGCGTTAAACAAACAAACAAACAAAGATAAATATGTAGTGTGAAGGTCTTGTGTTGCGTGATGTTATTCTCGGGTTAAGTAGTGGTATCAATTGCATGCTAGATAAGTTGTCAGTTTCATGTCAGTATCACTTGATCTGTATATTTCGTCCTATCAGCTGATCTGCCTGTAATACCCGGGCATGTCTACACCTTGTTTGTTCCTTGTTTAGACATGAACTTTCTCTTTGATCCACGTGTCCAGTGTGTTGCAATCTAATATTTCACCTCGAATCGTGTACGACAGAAAGTGTTGAGAGTCATGAAACGATATATCTACCTGGGGACTTTTATCTGTACATTGTATATACATATATCACATCTATGTACAAACATTATCACGTTTTTAAGACAAAGTAGAGTCTATACCGACCCTTTCATTAGTGTTTGTCATAGAGGATGACATATCATGTTGACCTATTAAGAATATTATGCGCTACAATGGCGAACTTATACTTCCTTTCAAAAAGTTTAGACTCACTAGTGTAAATACAGCCACTTACTTCAGGCAACTGTTCTAAACTAAATTTTGCAAAATATACCATACTGTTTAAAGGTACTGTCTACACATGAACTGATGTATTGTAAAACAAATTCGTAACGTTGAAAAGAATATTCTCATGAGTTCAATAAATGATAAAAATCAGTGAAAATTGGCGAATTCTTAACAAAACTTTACACCAAAACGCAGCTGTTCACTTGCACGATATTTGCACATGCTTTTCATCAATATGATGCATGATCCTCGTGCAATTCATCTGCATAAGGTTTGCAGTTGGTTCCCCCAAGTTAGTGAAGAAATCAATCTTCGATGTAACCACACATATATATATACATACCATATAGTGTGAGTCTAAACTTTAGAAAGGAAGTATATATTGCTTTTAGTAAACAAGGAGAGTCGCAGTGAATAATATGAACACAAAGAGCGCTAAAGACATTGAATCACTCGTACACAGATTACGTACAGAAGTTCATACATGATTCCCACCAGCAGTACGTTATTGTGAGTTTGACCTGTTAATGAGTGAAGCACGACTGTAATGGCGGCTCTTCTGTCCATCTGCCTGCTGTGTATTCTCATCCGCCCGCTACTCTAATCTGAGTGAGTGAGTATGGTTTTACGCCGCTTTTAGCAATATTCCAAGAATACCATGGCAGGGGAAATGGGCTTCACACATTGTACCCATGTGAGGAATCTGACCTGGGTCTTCCACATGACGAGCGAACACTTTAACCATTAGGCTACCCCACCGCCCCTCAACTCTAAGTGGAGGTATACAGTTGCTCTTCCATCTAGGGTTATTGTTATGGTTGTACAGATCAATCGTTCGTGTCAGCCTTTATAACCATGAGAAATCAAATCTATTACATACTTAAATCCAATCTTTCAGATTTCCCTGACATGGAATCCATGTATACATATCTCGGGAGACATTCAGTGTTGGAGAATACATATCTCGGGAGACATTCAGTGTTGGAGAATACATATCTCGGGAGACATTCAGTGTTGGAGAATACATATCTCGGGAGACATTCAGTGTTGGAGAATACATATCTCGGGAGACATTCAGTGTTGGAGAATACATATCTGGAGAGACATTCAGTGTTTGAGACACAGTAATAACATCGGGAGATAATTTGATTCACGAGTACATATCTAAGCGTTCATGACCTCACAGCAATGAGATGCATTCCTACATATCTAAGCGTTCATGACGTCACAACAATTAGATGCATGCATACATATCGAAGTGTTCATGACATCACAGCACTGACATGCATGTATACATATCTAAGCGTTCATGGTGTCACAGCAATGACATGCATGTATACATATCTAAGCGTTCATGACATCACAGCACTGACATGCTTGTATACATATCTAAGCGTTCATGACATCACAGCACTGACATGCATGTATACATATCTAAGTGTTCATGGTGTCACAGCACTGACATGCATGTATACATATCTAAGCGTTCATGACATCACAGCACTGACATGCATGTATACATATCTAAGCGTTCATGACATCACAGCACTGACATGCATGTATACATATCTAAGCGTTCATGACATCACAGCACTGACATGCATATCTAAAGACATTCATATCTAAGCATGACATCATGCAATGACATGCAGAATATCAGCGTTCATGGTGTCACAGCACTGACATGCATGCATACATACATATCTAAGCGTTCA